ATGTAGATCAGTCTTCCATGAAGGATGTTGGCAGTAACTTCTAGAACAGGGCGGTTCAATGTAGCCAGGTGCTTGGGAACTCGCCCGTCAACAAACTTAGGAAGGGCAAATTTTCCCTTATCCATAGAATCCTGGATGCACACCAGGATGTCCATGTCACGCTTCGCGCGAGTCCGCTGGCTCCAATAAATGGATCGGTCCATGAATTGCCCTTTCAAATGCCGCATGAGCATGTCTGCAGCAGATGCATGGGCACTCACATCTTTGGCATGTCTCAACCTTGCCTTTAGGCGCTGGCAAATAGGGCATGCTGAGTGCTGGGACACTGGCCGAAACCTCAGGGCCCTCTTCCATCCAGAGTCCCGCACCACCCTGAAGAAGGTGCTAGGGGATGCACAATCGAGTCCCTGTGATGCTTGGAAACTCACATAAAGATGGTAGATGTCTGACCAATTTCCAGGTGGTAAATATCGCCGGATCACTTTGTCAGGGCCCAAGGGCAGGACAGATCTAGCCAAATCTGATTCCAAAGCCGAGTTCGCCAAAAGCTCCACCAGCTTCTCACGATCAGGTTCTGTAGCGTATGGCTTGTCAGGATCATGGACTTTCAACCTTAACACATCCCCTTTACATGTGTTGATTGTGTCTTTGTTAAGAACCCAAAGGCTTTTGGTTTGCAGTTTGCAAGTCTACCAAGCCACTCGTGAGGAAGTGTTTCCCCCAAGCTCCAGTAGGTTTTCTCCAAGACTGATACCACGGAGGAAGCCGCTTTCGAATCTCGAGAATGCAAAGATCCTCAAATATCTCAAAAGGGCATACACAGGACGATCATGTTGTTGTCTCCATATGTTTCCATGCATATGTTTGCAACTTAGCGGCCATATTTTCTCTGGTCTTCTCCCTGGAAGTTCTTCCTGGTTCGGACCAATCTCCACGATCCCACGCCAAGGAGCTTGCAAAAGGCTTCACGGCAAATCTTGACACCTGACACAGGGATGGGAGGAGGGATGGTTTGGGAGAAGGACCAGAGAGCCAAACACAGGTAGACCTCTTAAAAGATATCATCCTTGCAAACAGTTCGGTTCAGAAATTAGTCCAGACCTTGTATGTACCAGGAATTCTTGACAGGGATGTCAGATGTAGATGATGACTCTGAATCGCTTCCACTGCCAGATGAAGAGGGTTCGTCCACCAAGCCAGTTTTGCTTGCCATGTTTTGAATACCCCAAAGCACGCAGTCTTGGGCACTCTTGTTCAAAGCCCAAAACGATTGGCAAAGCTGGAGCACCATGTTGAAGGTGACCAAACGATAGCAACGCTGTTTGCAGGCACACAGGTTCTTGTTCAAGACGCCCTTCACTCTACTGGGATCTTTACCGTTAGAAGCTGCCATTGACTCCCAAGTTTCCTCCCCAGGAAACATAGACAATTGTGTCAGCAAAAGCTCACTCCTGTTTTCAGGTTTCTGATCCACTTCATGAAGGGTCCTAGATTCAGTGCTGTCATCTGACCCGCTAGTGCTGTCAGACTCCGATTGTGATTCATCCCAGGAAGAACACCGGCGTCGTTTGGGCTCTGGCGAAGACGATGCCGATGACGAAGGCTCATCCGCGTCATACCGCTTCAGGTTCATTGCTGCAAGAAAAAACTAGAACTTTCAAAGTAGAAACACGTGTATTCCATGTCTTCCCTTCAAACATTGGTTCCATGTTGGACCTACTTGCAGCTTTGAGCAGCATGCATAAAAGAAACCAACATAAAAGCATGGATTTCAGTTGCCAAATTGTGGATGGACCATGACAATGATGTGCAATGACACTGCTTTGCACAGCTGATACAGGTCAGAAATCACATTTTACTTTTCTCCCCCTTCACATCTGTTCATCTAGAGCCTAGGCCTTTAGGCATCGTTCTTGCAGCGGGCCGCCCGGACAAAGAACCCGATGTCGGCGCAGCTGAGGGCTGCCAGAATCGCAGAGGCCACGCACTTGGTGTTCATGGCCTCGAAGGTGATGGGGTGGGCTCGGATGGGCATTGCAAAATGATCAATCTTGCAGGATGGTTGAGGAAGTACCCACTAAGCAGGAATAAGAGTACATGCAAAATAGTTGGTGACAAGAGACATTTCCTGCAAGCGAATGCATTTCCTTGCGCAGGTTCAAATTCTAGACAAGGTGTGAGCCACTGACTGAAACAACAAAGAGTTGTAACATTGATTTTGGTACTTGTTTGCAGCACAGACTCTTCTTCATCCAGGTGGTTCAACACAAGCTTCTGCAAGGGGAAGCCTTGAAAAGCCATAGCATCTCCTGCAGTAAATGGCCTGCGCTGCCGCATACTATAGAGACCAGCTTTTGGAGTTACACATGGGCAGCGCTTCTCATTTGAACCCATACGGTCCAGTTGTTGAGAAAGATTGAGGATTCCTTGGAACCCAGCGGTGGTCTTGATGTCGGCAGCCTCACTTGTTCACAACAATGGGCCTGGGTTTTCCACTATTTTATTCAACATGATGCAAGCACATCCAGTTGAGCCTAGAAGCGTGATGAACCCTTTGGGTCTTGTAGTACTGACGCACATGGCCGCATTCCTTCAATGCCCTCGGTTTCACCTGTGTCAGCTATGGCCGGTTTAGGGATTAGTCGCGACACATTTGTTGATTATATAGTAGGGCATAGTAGGGCATGCTGGGCATGATATTTTTGAAAAGTTGCAACACTCAACATCACTGCATATCACTGCCTTCAGTTCTTTCATTTTCAAGATGTGCTTTTCCACCCAACGTGGCTTTCCAGATTTTGGCCTCAGATCAAAACTTGCCATCCCTTCCCCAAGACCAGCCACGAGCGGCAGGCTTGCAAACATGAGCCGAGGCACGGCTTGGTAGTATCAATCTTGGGCTTGGCCGGTTGACCGGCAATGCTCTTGCGCCAGTTCGAGAGCACATGGGACACATACTCGCTCTTCTTGTCTAGCATCAAGTCTTCCCTCAGTATGGGCCCCATGGGTCAAGAAGGGTTCTGGCAAAAGCTTGACTTGAAACATCTTGAAGCTGAAGATCAACATCACAAAATGATTCTAAAAGTAAGGGTTGGACACCCTGATTGTCAAAGAACTGTCCACCTTCATGTGTTCCAAGTGATGTTCAGCGAGAGCTTGGAAGACCGCATCCTTCTGGATTGTATCCTTGGAAACATCCCTTAGCTTGGCATTCTTTTGTCAATCAAGCCAATTCCTGGACGAAACAACAACAAGCAGTGCAACATCATTCCAACATATTCCAACTATCCTTGGACAAGGGTCTTTCGCAACAATATGATGTAAACCCTTCGTCGCGTGACCGGCTCCCCAAATTTGGATGGACACATCTTCAAGACACCCACCAAGTACTTCTTCTTGATGCCAGACGATTCGAGCTTTTCCTCGACCTGGGGGAGGTCAGGCTATTTTGAATAAACAGGTCTTTCCTGGATTCCTGGATTAGTGAAAGTGCACCTTTGAGCCAACCATTGCTGTCAAGATACTTGATCCCAGACATCCAAAATCCCATTAGACGTTCTCAAGGGTGCAGGCCAATGGAGAGGTCCTGTGAGAACTGATGCTGGGGTTTGGATAGCACTGGTGAGTGAGTTGGGTGCCTCAAAAAATACTGTATCAGCAATGGTTGCATGGAAGCACTGTGAAATCCCAAGCCTCAGGATTGCACCCAGACACTCGTCCAGGATGTCCCCCTGCTTCTCATCAAAATGGGTGGTGGACTGTCGCAACCGGCTAAACCTGAGGACATCTGAGAACTTAGGCTGCTGAGAATGAACATGCGTATGACTGTGGGAATCTTCACAAATCTTCGTGCACTACTGTTCCAACAGCTTGTTCAAGAAACGGTTGGCATGGAAATCCCGCAGCGTATAGCATGACATTCAAAGTCTCCAGACAGTGCCTGTCCTTGACATCGGTGTAGAGCCTGTCAAGGATTGCAATGAGGGAATCCTCTTATTCAAGGGATGCTACATGGGACTCACATACACAAACAACTTTGGCACCTCTCAGGGCGGCAGTTCTTCACGATAAACTTTAATGGAGCAAGTCCATTGTCAGCAGCTGCTACGAGTTTCACCTGCACCAGGCAGTCGAAGGCTGTTTGGCTTAACACTTGTTCAAACTTGTTCAAGCAACTCCAAGCGTTCACCCTCGAAGTGTTCATCAGCATCACACCCGACCTTGTTTCCGAAAACCTCAGACATCCCCCAATAGCAGCCAAGCGCTCCAGCACCTTTGATGATGCGGAGATGGTGCACCACACCCCCATTTCTATCCACTCCACTTTGAAGCCGAGATGCAATCAGACATCAATGTGAGCTTGAAAGGAAGCGATCGAACCAGTGCGCTAGCACCTTGGGTGGCAAACTTGGGTTTGGTTTTACCTCGGAGAGCTTCAGGCTTCAGAATGTCAGCACTGGCGGATGAACGCTGTCAAGATCTGTCAAGATACCAGATTTGCGAAGCATGTCCTTTCCCCAGCCAGAAAGATGCTCCCGCTGCTTGGTGGTCAGGGTCATGTCAGGGGCGATGCGCTTCCTAGGCATGCTGGCAGCTAAGTCATATTCTGAAACTTTCTTTGTCCCCTAGTGATTTCTGTTGGTGACATGGAATTCAAACTGCCAAGGGTCTGAGGTTTCTCTGCCAAAGCCAAGTTGGCTTCCCCATCGACAGACTCCCCAGCAACAGACTCTGAATCTGTAACATTGCCAGAACTCGAATCACGATCATCTTCAGATTCCATGCTACCGCTGGAGGAAGAAGTGGGGACTGAGAACCGTTCCATAGAAACGGCTTCGGAAACAGCTGCAAACAGGCAGTTTCTTCAAGGTTTAAAGTGTTGGTTGTATTTGGCTGGAGTGTCGGTTGGCATGGTTCAGTCTTTCCATGTTTGAGTCATGATGCAGTTCCCATGCGCAGCCCAAAACAGCCAAAAAAGCCGAGACGTGCATTCCTTCGGCCTGCTTGGAGACATTCACCACCTCACAGGGAGAGTCCGGAAGGTCCTCTGGGTGAAAGCGCTCCATGGCCAGATAGGTCTCCAAAAACCGCGCCCCACGCGGTTGTCCTCCCAGGATCGCCTCCTGTCAGCGATGTCAGCGGACGTGCCGACAGGTTTGCAGGTCCGTTTGCCGTCCGTTTGACTCTTTCGACCATCTTCCGAATACCAGCCGCAGTGGCTTTTTGGTTCCACTGAGCAAACTGCAGGACAGTATACCAAGAAAACGCTGGAAGAGCGTAGGGCTGCGGGGATCATCATTTATCCGTTGAAGGGAAGTTGGATCAAAATACCCCAATCCCCCAGTCAACCCACCACAGGCCAGCGCCAATTGTGCCCCTCAAGGAACCATGGTGATTCCCTCAAGTTGATTTCCAACCTCCACCCATCACTATTCATCAGTGCTGGTAGATTTGACAAAGCACGCTCAAAATGATCGAGTGCAAACGATCTAGTGCTGAGCAGGCCTTAAAACATCTTAAAACGCTTGCCACTGAAACTCTTGGATCTATTGAGTGGCACCCCCAGCAAGAGTGGAATTCTTTTGGAGTGCTTTCCGGCCAAGCAATTGCCAAAGGCATTGCTCCATTGCTGACATCTAACCACACTCCGAACATCTGCGGACATTGGACGACACACCATTAGCGAGACATTCGACTGCCTTTGTGGAACCACGCAAGGCGGCACTCTTCCCCCAACCCATCCCCCAACGCCCTCCGCTTCCGTTCGGAACTCCGCTCGGTCGGACGTCCTGCATGGTGCGTTTCACCGCCCGCTCCAGGGGCGGCAGCGGCACCGGCGCTGCGGCGCCGTCGGCGCGGCGGAGCCACTCCTCCGAGCCGCCGCAGAAGGTCCACGTACCGTTCGACGACTCCTCGAGGTGGTATGGTTGTGGCACGCGCGGTCCGCACGGGTGGGGCGAGTCACGGCGAGTCGCCGTGTGAGCTGTGTCTTTTGGGGTGGGGAAGTGCTGCCACCACGGGGACATGGGCATGGCAACGCGGACATGGGCGTGGCAAATAGGAGGAGGAGACCCCCAAAAGGAAGCCTTGTTTTTCCCATGATCCGGCCCTTCTTCCTCCAAACAGAAGGACCACGTGATGGCTGAAAAGGACACTCATCAACCTGCCAAACCACCTGTGGAGGGTGATCGAAGGCACAAAGCATGGCACACACTGGGCTGACTTGCACAAGTCAGCTGGGGCCTCTTTTAGAAGGTTTAGATGTATACACCCCCTGAAATAATCAGGGAAGTGGATGGCATGGCCCCTTGGATTGACCATTTGTTCTACAAACGGAAGGTGGCCTGATTATTGTCAGGAGCGAAGAAAATGTATATAGATTTATGTGCCCTGCTTGAGTTGAATTTGGTTGAAGGATGTTGAAGGCCTGTGGATGGAAATCCTCTGTTCATTCTTTTGCCTGCGGCCATGCCCGGCGGACCGCGGTGGTCACAGGCGAAAAACATCGAAAAACGACGGTCCAAAGCGCCACTGCCGAAGGTCCAAAGAAGGCAAGCGAGGAAGATGCAGCGCATGGTACTCCCTCATCACCACCAAATATTGCCTGGATTTCCCAACCACCCCGAGCAGCGAACAAGTCTCAGGCAGAAAAAAACGCCGTTTTCATCGTCGAGTTTGCTTCAATGCTGCTTTGCTGAACTCCACTATGCATGAAAATGAGTGATTGAGTGGACTTATTGGGCTATAGATTGGGTCTATCCAATTGCCAGTAACAGCAGATGATGGTGGCTAGTACAGGCCTTTCTCTAAAATACGGATAATTAACTGAACATGCATGCCGCATGTACCTTCTATTGGATTTGCTTGATGCACATGGAAAGCAGGAACAAAGGAATTCCCTCGTCGATCCACCTAAAGTTACTTCTGAACAAACACATCCAAAATCCATCCCACAAGTCTTCTAAGAGATTCTAAAGGAGCAGAAACATCATCAAACATGTTAGTTATTCTATGTTATTCTATCTCATGTCAACGGTTTTTCAACAAAACACACTCATCTCGTCCAATCAGAGCCACGTCGCAGATCTCCCTCCAGCCGCGCTCGCAGCTCCGTGGAGAGCCGCTCCTCCAAGGAGCCCGTCCCAGCGGCCGCAGCGGGCTCCGCGGGCTCCGCGAGCTCCGCGACGCGCGCGTCAAAGGCGCGGTAGAGCTCCACGCCGGGGCGGCGGAGAGACCAGAAATGCCACAAATCCTGGTTTTGGGGAAGAAAAATTGGAGACAACGAAAGTCCATAGCAATTCAATGAAGACAAACATCATGAATGCATATATGAATGCTACCCAAAGACTTCATTTATACTGTATATAGGCCTTGGAACAAATTGAATCTTTTGTCATCGTTTCTTACTGGCTCAGGCAAGCAAAGCTTTCTGTGGAGTTTGCCTTTGGCATGCTGCTCCTGCAGCAAATGGAGGAGAGTCGAGTGATGCTTCAGCATCATGTCCAAGGATGGAAGTCAAGAAACCTCTGGATCCTGTGGCACCTGCCACCGGATCCAAAGGGTCTTGTTTTCCATCTCAGCTCAGATCCGAGATGGCCTGTCGGAAGGGAGGGGCACTTAGCTCGCTCGCTTAGTAAGCATGAAACGTTCATGTCATCGCCCACAACGAGGCCCGAAGGGGCGGTGGACGATGTGAATCCAGCGGATGGTTCCCACCGACCAAACCGATGGACTCGGAAAGGGACGCGGGTTTCGCTTGAAACACCGGGCCGTCCCCCCACACCGCGCACACCGGTCCTCGCGTTCGCTGGAGTTCAAATGAAGACTCGGACGGTTCGTCACCTGAATCTGCTCAGCTGCAGCTGCAGCCTTGGCATAAAAGGCCTCCATATCTTCCTCGTCTTCCTGGGCAAAGCAAGCTAAAAGCTTCCATTGAGGGAAGCAATGTGAAGATCCAACAAAAGGATCAAGTTAATCTCGCAAAAGGATGCGACATGGAATCGATGCAATGGCTGCGGGGGAAACCAAAGTACACCACCTCTGACACGGTCTGCTTCTAGTCTACCCCCCCCCCCACAAACAAGAGAAACAACGTGGGTCGGTAACCATGCAATTGCCGAGCATCATACAATGGGATGGTGTACCCAAAGTCGAAATGTGTGACCACTCAAGTAGCTTTCATGTGCCAGAAACATTGATACCCAACCAAAGAAGTGTCCACCAAATCTCGCTCTGTCTGACGCCAATGGCCATACATCCGGAGGTCCGAACAGAGCATGTGCGCCTGTCACATGTCGCATCGCACCGAAGTGGGGTAGAGAAGGCTTGGGAGACAGGCACGACAGCACGTGAATGATGGAACAAAGATGAAAGACACAACCATTTTGAGCCAAATCCAAAAGCATCCAAAAAACAACAACCACCCACTCCCCAAAATGCCGAACCTTCGTGCCCAACCCTTCTTTTTTGCGAAAAGTCGCCAACTTCTCTCCCAAACCAATCTTCTCCATGAAGTCTTCTAGGTTCTCAAGGACCTCTTCCAAGTCAGAGGCCCCCATTTCTTCTGCCCACACCAGCGCTTGCTTTGCATAGCCATCCAGCTTCAAGTCGTCCAACCATCTTCGGAAACCTTCAATGGGTAGAGGATGGCAAATGAATGTTGATGAATGAAGAGACACAGGCCTGAGCTTTTGTGAGTCTAGCTCTGCCATTACCTAAGTTCCGTCACAGAGATCATCTTCTCTTCTCATGACTGTGTAATTAGCTGGAAGAGATTGGGAATTGGCTTGGAGACGGAGTGCAATAGATAGACTTATGTGTATAGCTCTATCGTTCCTTCACCTCCAAAACCTCTGGTGCTCCTTCCCCCTGTCCCCCTTTCCGGGTCGACGCCTTGCACGACCTCCTTCGGGTCTCCCCGGTGCCCGCCTGGCACGCTTCCGTCACGGCCCCTGCGCGCCAAGGATTGGTAACTCATGAAGAACCTCAGGGGCTGAACATGGCTTCCCTCGCCGGGGGGGAGTGGCGAGGGCGATGGCGAGGGCGCGAGGGCGGCGACGACCACAGTACTTTCATTCAAAAAAAACAGCATCCTCCAGCCACATTCTCAAGCCTTGAAGGAGCGAACAGTGACATCATTGCAACTCACCCCAGAAGCAAGGGAATTCTACGATGCTATGTCTGTGCATTGCTAGACTTACTAGTGGACTTCTTGTTGGCACCGGAAGCCACTGAACGCCACCGCCCATCACTGCCAACGTAGTGCAAAGCCCTTCCGACCCCGGTCCGACCCGTACAGCGACCGCCGGGTGGGCAGGTGCAGGATGTGCAGGTGGAACCCACCGGAGCCATTCCTGTTGGTCTTTCCACTCGTGGAGCACAAAACGAACACCTTCAACAAGGCGGAGCTTCGGAATCGGCACGGGCCACACTTCCTGCCAAAGTGCCGGACCTCCGCTTCGCGGGAGGCCTTCCACAGCATCTCCTCCAGCTCTTGACCCTCCACTGTGGCGGCCGCCGGGACTGGCGGCCCCCGCGCTTCCCCGGAGACGCCGATGCCGCGGAGGGTCCGATTCCGCAGTGTTGGCTGGGCAGAATTGACCTCGTGGAGGTTGCAACAATGAGGTAGATAAACACATATCCACATCCTATATGAACCCTCGTAGTGGTTGGCATGAGGCATAAGGCATAGGCATAGGTATCTATTTGTACAGTCCCTTCCTTTCATACTAATTAGATTGTTTGACCTGCCCGCGATGCTCTTATGGAGAGAGCACCCATGAGCATCCTCTCAGAAGCCTATTGCAGTCATAGTCATCATTTGATTGATTGTGTGCTGCGTTGAATGCCCGTCAATATCAATAAGCCTAACTCTGTGGGTTGGTTGTGATGAAACTGATGTCAATATAAGAACTTGCTTGTCTCAAAGCCATCTGATTATCTGATCTGCCACTTGATCTGCAGTTTCTCCATGGTCGATGTGTTCCAGCGAATGCGCTGGAGATTTCTGTGAAAGACTCGTGAAATTCTGAAAGACATGCAATCTGCCATGCCGGGATTTGCCTTTTCCATTTCATTGCATGCCGCTGGTGCAGCGGCAGATGCACCGGAAGTGGATGGCCGCCCAAGGTTCACGTGTCTTAAAACGCTTTGAGAAACTGCAGAGATGGCCAAGCCATATGATTCAAGTTAGCACGACCATAAATGGACATGAAGAAAACCACTAATTTCACACAAATATATACTTGATACGTCGACATTGAGCTTTACTTGACTGCCTGGTAGAGCTAGCTGCAAGCCGAGTCACGAAGCCTGAATCGGAAAAGCTCACTTTGAAGGCCCAGATCGCCAGCAGCCACCAGCCCCAGCTGCCCCGCAGGTGGCGCAAACGTGGCGCTGCTGAGGTGGATGTTGGAAGACCCAGCGGCATTGGCTCATGAGTTTCGGCAGTTCAGTATGGTTTTGGTGATGCTAGAGTCACCGAAATTCCCCATCGTGGCCTGAAGTGCTTGAAAAGTGGATGACCCCGATCTAAGCCACTGGCTTGCCAATTCCCAGAGTGGTTTTGGGGTGGCCAATGCCTGTACGGAAGTTACCTCATGTTATATGTATGTGTAAATAAATAAATATATATAACTCCATTTGTTGACTTCTCATCTGTAGCAACCACGTTTGTAACAACACTTCCCAGCCCTATGATTCATTGATATTCACTCTTATGACTCTTATGTCCATCGCTGATTACTGCAAGGGGTGTCCATCGCTCGATGCACTGAGTCTTCCATTCCTCACCACTGACATTAACATGGCCTGGCCCGCAACAATGTGGTAACCTGTGGCTCTTTCCAAAGGATTGCAAAGGTCACCGTAGCAAAAACAAGTTCAGGAAAAGCATGGAAAAACAACTAGGTTCCATCACCCCACTGATGTTAGGTCGGGTGTTCGACTTCACTTGCCGCACTCCTTTGAGTTGAATAAGAAATTGAAATCAAATCCACCTCTTTCTCAGCCTTCCAAGCACCTACCAAAGCCGCTTTTTCCAACTCTTCCAGCGCGGCAATGGTCTCCGCGGCCGAAGGCAGGTCCTTCGTCGCGGCCACCGCCAGTGTCCGGGGCGAGGCCGCTGGCGGGGGCTGGGGCAGGTCCGGCTGAACCGCTGGGCGGTCAGCGGTTCCGCCCGTGCGGCGCCGTTTGGGGCTGGGCCTCGGCGAGGCTCCGTGCGAGGCTCGGATGCGGCTCCAAGGACCGGTGGCAACACTGGGCTGCTACCTAGCTGTGCTACAGTACCTAGCTGTCGTGCTACTTACATAGCTAGTTGTTGCATCTACAGTCTATCCTGTTGCCAGAGTGGATGATGATGGTTAGTTAAAGCCTTGTTCAAAACTAGTGACTAGTGATAATTGTTTACTGACTGTTGCAGGTAACCAGGTAAGAACGGACAGAACCAAGTTAGTTGCACCTTCCGAAATGTTATAGCTGGCCTTAACAAATCTCAAGCCTCTTGGGGCCCCTAGGTTTCCCGCACATGTTGCCGCCCTCCCTGGGTTCGTCTGTCAAGTACCGAAGCCGAGACCTACGTTGAAGAGCTTGAAAGATATGTCATATTAGATCCTTTTGACGTGCTGGCTTAGGCTTAGTATGTGAAATCCTCCCCTCCTCTCTGGTCGAATCAGTTATTTCACTCCGCCCGTTTCGCTCGTTTCGCGCTCCGCCCAAACCCATGTTCCGACCCATCCACCTCCACGATGACGACCCGGGCGCCCGCGCATTTCGATGCGGAAGAGAAACCGAAAGTCACTGGGATCAGGACCGCCTGTGCCCATGTCTCGCACGGCATGTCATGTGGCCAGCAGGTGCCGCAACAAGACGCCATCCGTGCCGTGAATTGCTCCTCAAATCCTGTTCTTCATGTTCTTCCTTAGTGTCTCTTCCCATCCCCCGCTGAACAGTGCCTTGCCAGCTGCCAGGATCAACGCCCAACGAAATCTCATCACCCGAAGCCAACACCTCGCAGACGAGCACACCGGTGCTCTTGTGAACTCGGCGCGACGTCCATTTCCTTGGGGAGATGGCCTCCGAGGATCCAAAACCATGGGCGGCGTCTGGCGCGGTTCTTCTGAACCCCCGAGGCCGTGGAACAATCGCCCGGCTCACCCAAACGGTTCCGTCTGTTGGATTTGAGATGATTTGAGTGGGGGAGCCCGAATCCCCAGGTCGTCCATCGTCGGCCGTCTCCTCGCATCTTTGGGCCTCGCCCTCCACATCCTCAGGACTCACCTTTCCCTTGCCCAGGACCCACGAGCCATTGGTGCTCGCCAGGTCCCGCCTCGGAGGGAGCGCTGGCGCTCCACGAGGGTGGATCGAACGCCCGGAATCGACGGAGGTTCCTTCGAAGCGGGCGATCCTGCCACAGTGACATGCCAAGACTTCCACCCCGACTCATTGACATGAAAAGGGAAAATGCCCACGGGAAGGCGATCAAGCAGGTATTCGTCCACTTCCATGTTACATCTTAGTCAGTCAGAGTATCCAAAGTTGCTGTGGAACAACTGCCACCCAAGTATTTGAGTATCCGTAAGTATCCTTACATGCGATGGTGACTAGGCACCCAGCAAGAAGGCCTCTCCTGGCTGCCGGCCTCCGATTGAACAGTCGGAACAAAATATGGCCCAACTTGAGACCAGTTGCAAGGACAGGCAACTTGTTTTTTCTGTGCCTGGAAGAATCTCTGCATGCACTCGGCTGACCACCGAAGAGCCTTCTCGCTCGGCCTGGGACGGGAGAATCGGGCAAGTACACCCGGGAAGATGAACATGGAACCTGGTGGCATGGACCTTTGGAAGAGCATTTTCCTCTACAACCCAATGGTTTTCAGGTTCCATGTGGGTCTCTTCCAGAGTGTAAGTGACCGCATCTGGGGCGCAGCTCCTCAACTCCTGTTGAGATTCAGCACCCGGATGCTCGCCTCCATCAGCAGCCCGGATGCCCGCCTCCGCGCATGAAGGTGGGCACGCAAAAAAGATCGATATGCAAATGCTGGATCTCAAAGAAATCCAAACATTTCTAAAGGAATCTAAAAGACCGGCCACTGGCCAGAAACACAAAAAGCGCTGCTTGATCAAAACTTGGCCACCGGCCACTAAACACAGAGGAAACTGCCTTGCCAATCCGCCCGAGAGCCTCGCATCACGGCCCAAGAGCAGCTTCTCGCTCCGTCGTCCCGAATGCACCCCCACGCCACCCAAGCGCCTCGCCGGGCGTGCCGAAGGCGATCGAAGGCGATCGACAAGGCGATCGCTCCGATTCCCCACACACAAGGTCCTGGTCTATGTGGACCCCTGAGTGCGGATGAGGGGTGGTGCCCGCGATGGGCTCTGAAAAATATACCAAGGCTGACAAAGCGACTTAAGAAGACTTGGAAGATGTGTCACCAAGAGATCAGAATTCATTGCAAACATTTGCAAACGCATATTCTGATGTGATCAGTCAATGAATATACACATGCTGCTCATTGATTCACCAAGAGATCAGACACTCAACAGATCAGTCGTCCAAAGAATTGTCATAGCTTGAAAGAGTCAGGGGCATGCCGATGGCTGCCTTCACCCAATTCCTCTCACTAAGGGCTCCGCCCTCCGGGGCCATCAGGAAGCCTCCTGTCCGGTGACAGCGATACGAAACATCCTACGAACAACAGGTTTAAAGGACAAATGCTTCACTACTAACTGCTACAAGCCCAAAGGGAGATATATATATAATATATTGATATAGTAACAAGGCCTTTCTACCACACACACGGCGGGGCACTAGAAAAAAAAAACCAAACGTTAGGATACGGTAGGACATGTAAATGCCAGCAGTGCCTAATACGGCGGGCATCATGCCAGCGGAGCCGGTGATCTGATGAGAGGTGAAATCGGTTTGGAGCATACGAAACCGGGTCAAGCTGGCGGCTTCATTCAACCAGTTGTCCACTTCCTGAGATGAAGCCAGCAACCACACTTGAAGCGAGGAAAGCTTGTTTCCACCTCGGCTGCGAGAAAAGCAGCAAATGTCACTCATGTCTTGATATCATGTCATTTGGATTGACCATGATTGACCATGTTTTCTTGCTTCCCATCCGCCAAAAAATAACAATGAAGCTGAAGCAGGCCACGAATGTGTTTGTATCTCTGCGTGTCTGGGGTGGCCTTCAAGCCAGGCCGCTCCCAAGTCATCCTCCAAGTCTTCGGAGTCTGAGACCTCCATGGCGACATCCAGCCTGACACACCAGACGTGGGAAGCCGCAACGACGCGGGGAGCGAAGTGGTGGGCTTTCTCCGGAAGTGGATGGCCTGCGGTCCCAGAAGGAAGACCATGAAATCTGCAGACCAAACAGGTGGGAACCCTTCCCCTTCCGGTGGTCTTTTCAAGGAGAGTCAGTCGGACATTTTTCCGGTTGGACAGGTGAGCTTTGGAGAATTGCAGGCTCTCTCGAATCCAAGAAGGCTGATGCCATATTCTGCAGTTTCGTCGGCCCGTCGTCTGTCGGCATGAAAAAACTCTAAGCGTATCGCTCTGAGCATCAACTCACGCTATCTCAGGGGAACATCATGGAACATCTACCGTCTACGTCAAATACAGCTTTGTGACACAAACACATCGAGCCCCCGCTTACGGAGCCTTCCCACCAAAGTCTTGACAAAGACATCTGCCAAGACTGCGCCAATGACAGGCACCTCAGAGACACTCCAAAAAGAGCCGTCACAGAGTCTCACCACTTCCTCTCACAGAGTACGATGTCAAGCCCTCTTCCACCTACAAGTACATCTGCTCTCCTTCTTCTTTCTGTTGTTTCTTCGTCGTCCTCCTGTTGCTTCTTTCTGCTTCATCTCCTTTCCTTCCTCCTCCTTCTACTTCTTCCTCCCCACTTTGCATGGAATGGCCGATAGCCAGGTCCAAGCCCCATGCGCTCATGGCATTGCCTGCTCCGATGACGACCTCCTGCATTGTCTGGCCCTCTTGGCCAAGGAATTTCAGAGACAAAGCACAGCAAGAGCCGAGGATTGCCACGCTGAGCCAAGCAGAAGTTGCAAGCTGCATGACCCTAGAATAGAAGTAGCTCGTGACCCTGCCCATCCTCTTGGCTGCAAATGCGAAGCAAAGCCCATCCTGTTCGGTCAAGCCTTGTAGAGCTTTGGCCAACAAGGGATCCCTGGCAACAAAGAATCACAAGCAGACCTTTTAAGACGACAAGCTCGCCGCTATAGAATGGGCCAACATGCGCTTTTTCGTGTGGATGACGCTTGAGCAATTTTAGAATGGTCAGCAAGTATCAGGCCGATCTGGTAAGCACCATCAGCGTAAGTACTGTGGCACCTTGCAGGAAAGCCCTGCAAGTGCAGCAGCTCAATTGGCATGATCGACCTTGGCTCAGCGGTCGTCCGCAGCGGTGCCATCCAGCCCAAAACGGTTGAGCGGCCCTTCTTTCGCCTCATCCCATCATGAACCACCACTCTCTCACTGACGGGGGGTCACGGTTCCGGTTCTCCTCAACCGTTTTAAGAGGACTCCGAGAACGTCCCAGGTTGTAGATGGCAATACACCTCATCCAAGGGAATTCACGCCCGCTCCGTGCTCTGCGTCGAGCAGCCGCCCGTTCCGGGCCTCCGGGCCGCTCCAGCGGCCGCTCCAGCTGCTCCTCCCGAAGCCACAGCCAGCCTTGGACACGCATCTCTCGCGCGTCGCTGCTGGGGGGTTGGAGGTCAAGCATGGTCGGTCAGGCGAGGCCAGGCAAAATGAAGAAGCAAAAGCATGTTTCTTAAGTCGGGGATTTGAGCATGAAACTCAACTGGTTTCTTCCGCCACATGTCAATACTGACAGATTTAGCCTCATTACAATCAACTGAACCTGGTCCATATGAGTTTATAGAGAGGTGTGTGTGACCTGCAAAAGTTTGACGCCTGGTTTGTGCTTTATACACCTGGATACCGTGAACCTGGGTTCTGATTTCATGTAGAATGTACAATGTAGTTTGATGTGAATCAGCTGAAACTGGTCCACATTCCCACCTTGTGTTCCGCCATGGCGTTTGCGACCCTAAGTTTAGTACTTCACTAAGATTCCACTGCGCTTGATTCCCGTTCTTTTTGAACTTTTTTGACTCAGTGTGTAAAAATGAATTTCACAGACTTACACCAAACACCTGACTTTCTTTTTTTAAGAAACCCTAGTGGCGCCCAGGCGTCTGAACACCCTAAAACAGTAATATTTAATTTCATTCGCGAAATTTGTCATACTTTTCCCCCTTCTTGCTTAACCCTGTCAAAGGCACACCAAACTTTATCCACTTCTTTTCCACGAATTTTCAATATATATTCCTTCAGTTTTGTTTTCAAGTTTCTCTCAGGAAAGCCGGTTCAAAATCAAGCACTTACCTTTTCTCACGATGCATGGTTGGATTCGTGGCTGTGCTTGGGCGTATACATTGCCCGAGTGAAACGTATCTTGAACAGCTTCTTGGTTCACTGTTTCTTCACCCGCTGTGTGCACAACCTGCTGGACAAGAGTGTCAACGCAGTGTCAAGTCTCATATCTTGTGAGTGATGCACGATCATGCCACAGCGACATCCACTCTACATTTCCTCCAAAGATGGAATTCGGTGAAACTATTGGGAACCCTTGCTCTCAATTGGTTTCACCTCAGCCACAGAAGGGCAAGACAAGTGGAACGCTAGGCGTAACGCTGCTGAGAAAAGCACTCACGCTGATGGCAATGTGAAGCCATAGCAATCTGTCCTTAAAACTGGAGGGAAAAACACAAACTTGAAGTGTGGTCAAAACAGCTGTTTCTCGACCCAAACTCAGAGGCGGCAAAAAACAACAAAAAATACATCATAAGGTCGTAACATTGACATCAGTTTGAAGCCCTGCATGGTTAAAAGCTGCTCAAGACTCAAAACAAAACACCAAGTGCCGGGCTTAGACGTGCCGCGATTGACAGATGCTTCTTCATCTTCCCTAATCCAACTTCCATCCTGCAAATCCGCGATGAGCAAACTGGCAAACCACAATGCTGCAAAGGCAAGTTGAGACGGTGGTGTGCAAGGGGTTGGGTGAGGTGTTGTGAAAGAAAACAATTGGACAAATTCACCTGACCAGCGATTGACAAAAGAGTGAAAAGTGAAAAGGTAGCAAAGACATTGCAACGCAAAGCGCTGAGCCGAGTGAACAAAAGCTGAGAAATTGAAATACAACTAGCAAACGAGTTGGTGGCATAAACAGCGGCTCGTCCTGTTGGCTAAAAATATCAATTTCATCTGCGTCACACTTCACTTTGTTCGGCTTCTCTGCCTTAATTGCCTCACGGCAAAACGACAATAACCACCATGCACTTGCACACGCGTTGAACAAAACATGTTCTGGTTTTCATCGCTGCCTGCTTTGTTTGTCTTCTTCATTCAACGTTCACCAAGGCACAGCATCAAGTTTGATTGAACAACAACAAGCTCTGAACTCTGGACTTTCTTAAGGTCATCCACCTTTGAAATGAATCAAACTGAGCCAAGGGCTTTGTATAGCAACGTGATGACGACTTGAACGAAGCATGCGACGAAAGCATGGGGACGAACCAGCAAGAAGGGCACAGCAAAGCTAAGGTCACTGCGTTCGCCAACTCTCCCTTGACATGGAAAGCATTGCCAATCTGCTTGAATGTATCACCGTCCTGCAATTGCAACAGGGGGTGGGCGACAGCCAATGGCTGCGCCTTTAGGTAAGCAAGTGCAAAAGAACAAGCGCATGACAAGGAATGCAATGCATTACGCAAGAATTTTGACCTTGGGATGTGAAAATGGCTGAGGGAAATTTCTTCATGAAGTTTCAGCTAAACAAACCACTTCTGTTCTTAACCTACCACTAGTCAAAGGCTTGAAAAGGAACAAAGGCATAAACTGCTGCATTGACTTTTGCAAATTACAAGCCTTTGATGCTTGAGTGGGAGAACTGACGGAGCACAACCCTACTTTTATTCACACGACCAACCAACACCGGTTTTCGCACAGGAACTTTGCAAAGGAAGAAACAAAACGAACATAGGGATGTAAAAACAAGGTTGCTTGTTCAACAGATGCAACGTTCAACTGTCAACGTCTGTTGAGGTGGTACTTTTTTGGTTTTTCGTCAAAAAGCTTTTCCTACACCTGTCAAAAGGGCATAGCAAAGGAACAAGGGCATGGCAAAACATCATACAAAGTCTTAGACTAAATCCTCTCTATCAAATTGAGGAAAATTTTGAGAACATATCATTCAACAAATCCTGAGGAATAAATACGTTACTGCTAGTATTTTATAAAACATTTACTTCCCTCAAAAGAACATGGCAAAGGAACTAGCAAAAGGCAGAGAAACCATATGTTGCGTCTAAGTCCTTTCGAAGTTGAAAATGAAGACATCCAAATAAACAACCATGCAATCGCCCCAACCGTGCTGAAACAAACCACTTGTATTTTAACCTAACACTAGTCAGAGGAACTTCGATGGGAACAATGGCATAAACTGTTGCAGTGGCTCTTGCACATAACAATGCTTTTGACGCTCGAGTGTGAGAACTGATGGAGCACAACCCTACTTTATTCACACGACCAATCAACATTGCTTTTAGCACACGAGCCGTGCAAATCAACACATGAAAGGAACTAGGGATGACAAGGCTGCTTGTTCAACACTTGCTGTACCACTCAAAAGGCGAGATGTTGAGGTGGGAACAGTCAAAAGGACATAGCAAAGGAACAAGGGCATACAAAGTCTTTAGTCTAAATCCTCTCTATCGATTGAAGGAAGATTATCAAAATACATGTTTAACAAATCCAAAGGAATGAACAACCCTGCAATCTTCTTACTGTTACTAGTAGTAAGGCACCTGTTACTACTAGCGTGGCACCTGTTACTACTAGCGTCCTTGTTACTACCAGTAAGGCACCTGTTACTAGTAGTAAGGCACCTGTCACTACTAGCGTGGCACCTGTTACAACTAGCGTCCTTGTTACTACTAGTAAGGCACTTGTTACTACTAGCGTGGCACCTGCTACTACTAGCGTCCTTGTTACTACTAGTAAGGCACCTGTTACTAGTAGTAAGGCACCCATTACTACTAGCGTGGATGTGTTACTACTAGCGTGGCACCTGTTACTACTAGCGTGGCACCTGTTACTAGTAGCAAGGCACCTGTTACTAGTAGTAAGGCACCCATTACTACTAGCGTGGATGTGTTACTACTAGCGTGGCACCTGTTACTACTAGCGTGGCACCTGTTACTACTAGCGTGGCACCTGGTACTACTAGCGTGGCACCTGTTACTACTAGCGTCCTTGTTACTACTAGTAAGGCACCTGTTACTAGTAGTATGGCACCTGTTACTACTAGCGTGGCACCTGTTACTACTAGCGTCCTTGTTACTACTAGTAAGGCACCTGTTACTAGTAGTAAGGCACCTGTTACTACTACCGTGTGCGTGGCACCTGTTACTACTAGCGTCCCTGTTACTACTAGTAAGGCACCTGTTACTACTACCGTGTGCGTGGCACCTGTTACTACTAGCGTCCTTGTTACTACTAGTAAGGCACCTGTTACTACTAGCGCGGCACCTGTTACTACTAGCCTCCTTGTTACTACTAGAGGGCACCTGTTACTAGTAGTAAGGCACCTGTTACTACTAGCGTGGCACCTGTTACTCCTAGCGTCCTCGCGAGCGTCCTTGTCTTTACTCATAAGGCACCTGTTACTAGTAGTAAGGCACCTGTTACTACTAGCGTGGCACCTGTTACTACTAGCGTGGCACCTGTTACTTCTAGCGTCCTTGTTACTACTAGTAAGGCGCCTGTTACTAGTAGTAAGGCACCTGTTACTACTAGCGTGGCACCTGTTACTACTAGCGTCCTTGTTTTTACTAGTAAGGCACCTGTTACTAGTAGTAAGGCACCTGTTACTACTAGCGTGGCACCTGTTACTACTAGCGTGCACCTGTTACTAGTAGTAAGGCACCTGTTTCTACTAGCGTGGCACCTGTTACTACTAGCGTCCTTGTTACTACTAGTAAGGCGCCTGTTACTAGTAGTAAGGCACCGGTTACTAGTAGCGTGGCCCCTGTTACTACTAGCGTCCTTGTTACTACTAGTAAGGCGCCTGTTACTAGTAGTAAGGCACCTGTTACTAGTAGTAAGGCACCTGTTACTACTAGCGTGGCACCTGTTACTACTAGCGTCTTGTTACTACTATTAAGGCACCTGTTACTAGTAGTAAGGCACCTGTTACTACTAGCGTGGCACCTGTTACTACTAGCGTCCTTGTTACTACTAGTAAGGCACCTGTTACTAGTAGTAAGGCACCTGTTACTACTAGCATGGCACCTGTTACTACTAGCGTGGCACCTGTTACTAGTAGCGTGGCACCTGTTACTACTAGCAACCTTGTTACTACTAGTCAGGCACCTGTTACTTGTGAGCCTAAGTAGCCTTGCCCGTAAACATGTTTGCATGTGTGTGTTTCACTTGTGCATGAACTGATTTTGGCTCAAGGGCCAATACGTTTGGCTCAAGTGAGTGGCTAGGAGTAGTGCAAGTAGCTTCTCAGCTTCACTAGGCCGTTTCACCGACGCAAGAAGCGTGACTGACCCGCGACCTCGCTCGTGCGAGCAGAAACAGCTGCGCGGCGTTCGTACGCG